ATATATAAATATATATAATTAAAAAGATGTATATATATACTTGAATTTTCTTTGAATTATTTTCATTTGGTCTTTAGGCACCCAATTATAGGAGCTTTATCCATAACACTTGGAACTTTCTTCATGATCCTGTTGAGTAAGCACTGTAGAGGCAGGTGAAAGAGGTTGACTGACATCCTGACTGACAGGAGAGGTTATGCTGTCTACCTGATTAAGATATTTTTTTCATTGTGGGGCCCTCTGGTGAGCATCACATGGGACCTAAAATTTTCCTATGTACCAATTCATAGAGGCTCATTCACATACCTCTTCTTCAGACATTTTTGTAATAAGTCTTCCAGTCTTATTCCTTCAGCATTCCTAATCATCCTGCAGAAACTATTAGCCATTATATATTAATATGCATAGGTTATTAACTCAAGCAATTTCTTCTTTAGGCAAAGTAGATGTAATGGTAGGTCTTTCTACTGTGAAGATTTTCTTTCATTTCTTAGTCTGACACCCTGCCCCCATTACCGCCCCCCACCCGGGTTGGGGTGTAATGCCTCAGCAATGTATTTCTGGATGTTACTGGCATTAAGTGAGAGCCATGTATAAACCAGATGTTTACCCCCTCTGATGTGAAATTCCCCAGGAGGCCATCTGTATTGTTTGATGGAGAGACAGTGATGTGGAGGAGTAGATTTTTGATAGTTTGAATAACCTATTTAAAAACTTCCTCGTGCCTTTGGGCTTGCTTTGTCTTACATGTTCTGTATATACCACCTCTGTTTAATGAAGGAGATCTCCTGGATACATCTACTTTTTATACATTAAAAAGGGTGGCATGGTTCCTGAAAGATGTATGTAAATGTTTTCTTTCCCATGTACCCATGTGAATGGTCACAGGGCCTTTTAGGTGAATGCCAGGAAGACAGTTTTGGTATAATGCAGTATAGGATTATTTGAGAGTACCTGGTTGTCTCTTGATGTAAGGAATTAATGGGGCTATAAACTGAGTAAAGTATAGGAATTGGGTGAAGGCCTGTGACTAAATAATGACAACATTTAGACTTTGGTGAGAGTTTATATTCTGTCCCTATATACTCCTCTTTCATCTTTTTATCTTTTTCCTCTGAGCTTTGGGGTATTCTGTCAAAATTTTCTTCTAATTTATCTTTATTTTAGGTTTCATTTTCCCATTATAGTTTTAAATCTATCATGTGTGTATAGTTCATCCTAATATTAGTTGTTATATTTTGACCTTTTGACCTTTTTGAGAACAGGACTTTGCTATTTCTTTCAGTACATCTGTTTCTATGGAGTAGCATTTCCTTGTGTGTGTGGTTTTTTTTTTTTTTTTTTTTAAGAGGATCCCTCATTTTTGAGGGGAGGGCATGCAATGTTTTTCTCTTACTCGTCCTCATAGTAATAAATTGATGCCTGTCGACTGTTAACTCAGAGTCAAGGAAGAGTTGAGCTGTATTCTGTCACAGTAGACGATGGTTCTTGCCTGAAATTGGGGATTATTTATATTTCTCGCATATTTGCCTTATTTTTAGAATCCTAAAAATCCACAGATTAGCTATGGTAGAAAATTTTGCCTTGATGCTATAGATTCCTTCCCTTTTCCACTTATTGTGGCCAGTCATGCCAGTGATAAGGTGTGGATGTACCTAACCTACTTCAGTGTCTTTCTATGCTTGGCTTCCCTTATTGGTGTCCAGGTCTCAGCTGATTTCCCTCAATCAAAGATGAATCCCGGGGTTGCATAATGATACTGATAAGAGTCCAAATATTTCAAATTCAGCATAAAGTGGGGAGTGCAAACAATGTGCCCCTTTTTGGTTCACCATCTGCCCTTTCTTCTAGCACTCACCTCTTTGAGTTATAGATTGTTGGAAAGAGTCTGCATGAAGGAAAGTGGTTGTCTCACAGGAGAAGGAGGTCCCCAATGAGGCTAATTTGGCTCCTTTCATTACACCACATCTGTCCAATATCCAGCTGGAATTTGTTAAAGTTTCTGGAAAATAAAGGTTGCTCCTCTCTGTTTTCCAGTGATGATATTCTTCCTATTAAAAAAAGGTTTTGTAATATTTCAATGAAAAATTTTAAAAGTATAGAAAAGAGTGAATGTTAGACTTTGTTTATTTCACCAGCATCTTATTCAGTGTGTATAATTTTTATCAACATGTTTAAATTTGATAAAATACAGGCATATAATTATTTTTAGTTTTATGTTTATATGCCAAACATAAGGCTAATTGCAGTTAACTTTGATAGCTAATGAGTAATTATTATTTGCTTTTTAGAAAATGGATTCTACATCTCTCTTACCAACATTTTTAGATGTGGATCTGACAATATCACATATTAAATGTCTTCCCAAGGATATTCTGGTGAAATTTCAAGGCATAAATAATAATGAATGTGAGTTTGACTACCACATATTGCAGAGAGAAATACAACATACTCCAAAAGTGAAAAATAATGTGGAAATTGATGAATTTTGTTTGGTGGAAGAAAGAGTATCTGGAGAATGGCAGAGAGGAAGAGTCGTGGGAAAGAAAAATGAACTCTATACAGTGCTCCTCATAGATCGTGGAGAAGAACTAAGAGTTGCTGGTCCACAGATTGCTTCAGCCTGTGGCAATTTGTTTGAGCTACCGCCACGGGTAGTATTTGGCATTTTTGCGAATATACTACCAGTTGGGGAAAAATGGTCCCCTAAAGCTTTGAATTATTTCAAGTCATTAGTAGGAATACAAGTGAAAGGTTATGTGCAAGCTATTTTACCTCTGCAAATGTTTCTTTTTGAAGTGCCAAAAATTATATCTCAGGCTCTCGAGTTACAATTAGGAAGACTTGTTGATGGAGATTCATTTCGTCTTATTGTGGAAATGTTAGAAGAATTCCCTCAACAAATGCCAGATTTATCGCAACATAAAAGACCTGAATTGTCATTAGGTGATAAAGACACTTCACTTGATATTCAACATGTTCTGGATAAGTTGCAGCCATCTTTGTCAGTAGGAAGTACTGAAAGTGTAAAGGTATCATCTGCATTGAGCCCAAGTAAATTTTATTGTCAGTTAATTAAATGGACTCCAGAACTAGAAAACTTGACAGCACATATGACTTTACATTATGATACGATCTGTCAAGAAACTAGTCCCACATGTGATAATTTTGGACTACTTTGTGTTGCCAGAAGGCGAAATGGACAGTGGCATAGAGGAATTCTTCAGCAGCTCTTGCCCCCAAATCAAGTAAAAATTTGGTTTATGGATTATGGCAGTAGCGAGGCTATACCCTCAATTTATGTAAAGAAACTTAAACAAGATTTTATTTTAGTACCATTATTTTCATTTCCATGTTCTCTGACATGTTTGCACAGTGAAGATAGAGATGCAAGAACATTTCAACTGAGTATATTTAAACAGGCCTTATTAGGACAAGTGGTATATGCACACATTGATTGGTTCAATAAGGATGAGCATTTGTATTACGTGACATTACAAACTCAAGAGTCTACAGTTAATTCTAAGTGTCTACTGAAGACTGTAGGCACACAAGTACTTTGTCCGATGTCTGATTCAAAAATATCCAATATCTTGAGTGAGACAAATGTGTCTGATGTAAACAGCTTTGCAGTTGAGAGTTTTATGGGAAATATTGAATGGTCAGTAGACTCTCTAAATAAAAAAGGCATTTTAAAAGTAGGTTTTCCCATTGAAACAGTAGAAATGGAGATAGAGGCTGCCTACATAGCTTTTATAGCATATGTATTAAACCCATCAAATTTCTGGGTACGCACTAATAACCATCAGAATGAATTTCAAGAAATTATGAAAAATATAAACAAATTTTATGATTTGTGTGAAAACGATGAAATGATTCTAAGAAAACCTGAACCTGGATTATTTTGTTGTGCTAGATATAGCAAGGACAGACGTTTTTACAGAGCTGTCATCACTGAAATTAATGGTTATAAGATTAATGTTTATTTTTTGGATTATGGTAATACTGATTCCATACCATTTTTTGATGTAAAAATTTTGCTTCCAGAATTTTGTGAGTTACCTGCCTTAGCAATGTGCTGTTCACTTGCACATATATTTCCTGTTGAAGATTTATGGACTAAGGCTGCAATTGATTATTTTAAAAAATTAGTTTTGAACAAAGCAATTTTGCTTCAGGTTATAGCAAAAAAAGATGACAGATACACCGTAAATATTCAAAGTGTTGAAGCCTCAGAAAATATTGATGTTATCTCTCTTATGTTACAAGCTGGATATGCAGAATATTATCAAGTAGAACTAAAATATTTTCCAAAATCTGCAAGTGAATATTCAATGTTAAATTCAAAATCTAAAAACAAAGTTAATATTAAAAAAGTCATATCTGCCCTTCTTGAAGGACCTAAATCTAAAAAGTACCTTTCAAATAACCTAGTAGAAAATAACTTGTCTTTGCCAAAGTCCCCAGCTGTTAATGTCTCAGATTTAAAAAATCCTTTCACCTTGTCTGTGGGACCTGAGTCATCCTGGTCTTATAAAGAATATAGTTTTAAACCAGGAACAGTTCTTGAAGTTAAATGTTCCTATTATTATGGCCCAGGTGACTTTTCATGCCAACTCCAATGTAAGTTAGAAGACCTAAAATTACTAATGGAGCAAATTCAGAATTACTATAGTATTCATTCTGATCCTTACGAGATTGGGCAGACTGCTTGTGTTGCTAAGTTTTCTGGGAAGTGGTATAGAGCTGCTGTTTTGACTCAAGTATCAAAAGAAGTTGACATAGTATTTGTTGACTATGGTTACCAAAAAAGGGTTTTAATTAAAGATCTTTGTGCAATTAACCCACGTTTTCTCTTGCTAGAAAGCCAAGCCTTCAGATGTTGTCTTAACCATTTTATTGATCCTGTTAGTTGTAAATTATTCAGTTGGACAAGAAAAGCATTCAGAGACTTGCGGAATTTTATCTCTTCATCTAGAGGGTTATTGACTTGTATCATCTATGCGTTAGTTATTATACATCCCAACCATTTATATAACTTAGTGGATTTACAGTCCTCATTTACTAGTGCAAAAGAATTTCTTATGAATCGTGGCTCTGCTCAGTATATCACATTATCAAAGACATTCCCATCTTTAGTTAGTCTTTACAGTTACTGTTATTCTTCCTTTAATATAAAAATTGGAAGTGAAGAAGAAGTATATATATCTCACATATATAGTCCCAAAAAGTTTTATTGCCAGCTTGGCAGAAATAATAAAGATCTAGAGATGATAGAAACAAAAATCACAGAGAGCAGTAACCTCAAAAATTGTCCAAAATATGATTCTAATAAAATGAGAGTGTGCATATCTAAGTATGTAGAAGATGGTCTCTCATATAGAGCTTTAGCAGTACCAACAGATTCATCATCTGAATTTCAAGTCTATTTTGTAGACTTTGGAAATAAGCAATTAGTAGGAGAAAATATGTTGAGGGCCATTTCAGCTCAGTTTCCAGAGTTGTTGTTTACACCTATGCAAGCTATTAAGTGTTTTTTGTCAGATCTTAGAGATGTAGATATTCCAGCAGAAATCAGTAGTTGGTTTAAAGACAATTTCTTGGGAAAACCATTAAAGGCGATAATATTGTCACAGGAGTCAGATGGACAGCTTGGTATAGAATTGTATGATGGATCTCAATATATAAATGAGAAAATTAAAGTGTTGCTTCATGCTTATGGAAAAAGACATTGTGACCAAGCATGCTGCATGGAAAAGAGTAATAAAATAAATGAGAATAAGAGACTTACTACTTCTTTGAAAGGCAGAACAGGAAACAACTATCACCATAATGTGATTAATAAAACTAGTCCAGTAACATATTCCGAAAGAAAAATGGATCAATTGATGCATCCCAAAAGTATATATGCCAGGTTTTTGAAGCCATCAGTTTGTTATAAAATGGAACCGGTGTCAAAAAACAAAATGAAGAATTCTTTGAATGATGGGCTTAAAGGTATAAAAATTGCCCCTGGAGCTGCACATATTCTTGAGAACAGGGGTGTGCGTCAAAAACCACTAAAGGTTGTATCACAGTCTTTTATCAGAGCATTAAATCAAACATCCTCACAAAACCCATATGACCTTATTAGGCCACGGATTAAAGACCTTCCTCAACCCCAAATTTATTTGAATGCCAAAGTTAAAGGGTATGTATCTAATATCAGTAATCCAGCAAGTTTCCATATTCAGCTTGCTGAGAATGAAAGTATAATTATCAGACTTGCTGATGCTCTAAATACAACAGCAAGGAGATTGAAAGAGAAAAAATCAGTTACACTTCTAGTGGGAGATCTTGTAGTTGCAGAATATTCTGGTGACAATGCCATTTACAGGGCAGTAATTAAGAAAATTTTGCCAGGAAATTCTTTTGAAGTAGAATTTATTGACTATGGTAACTCTGCAATAGTAAACACATGTAAAATTTATGAACTTCAGAGGGAATTTCTAACTGTTCCTCAGCTAGGAATCCATTCTTTTCTTAGTGGAGTAAAATGGAATGAGCCTGATGAAATATGGGATGACAAAACTGTGGATTATTTTACTTCAAAAGTACATAACAAAACAGTTTATTGTGAATTTTTGAAAAAGCATGATCAGAAATGGGAAGTAAATTTGATTTGTGATGAAAGATGTGTCATTAATGAACTACTGAAATGGAAAGCGTGTTCAAAACTACAGAAGTCAGCATTGCAAATGCCTCAGGTTCTCGCTCAAAAGGTGAGCCCAGGTGATAATAATGAAATGAAGAAAGGAAAATCAAATGAGTCTGAAGGTTCTATGAATTCGAACCAACAGCTGTTTAAAATTCCTTTCGAAGAATTCAAACCTGGACAACTTGAAAAAGCTGAAATGCTTAATGTTCCAAAAAGTGGAAGATTTTATGTGAAGTTATCCAAAAATAAAAAGATTTTATCAGATTTAATAGTATTAATTACTAAAGAAGAAAAAAATTCCCCCTTTTTATCAATGGAAAGTATTGAAAAAGGTTTAGAATGCTTGGCAAAATCTAAAAATACCTTGAAATGGCATCGATCAAAAGTGGAAGAAAAATATGTTGATGATAAAGTACTTGTTTTTTTAGTAGATTGTGGTATCTATGAAATAGTGCCTGTATATAATACCAAGCTGCTTAGTAACGAAATAAGAAATATTCCTAGACAAGCTGTACCTTGTAAATGGATTTGGTTTGAAAATTCTAAGAACATGTCATTTGAGTGCTTATTTGCTCATTTGGAAATAAATATTCTTTTCCTGAAATATTTAGATGCTGTTTGGGAAGTAGAAATTTTGGTAGATGACCTGTTACTTTTGGAATACTTAAATTTGAATACAGTTCATGTTGAAGAAAACAAACTTAGACCTGCAGAAATTGTTTACAACTTTGAATCTAAGACTCCTGTATCATCATGCACAATAAAATCGTTTACTTGGGCTCAATTCCAAAATGATAGGCAGTATTCTGGAATTGCAACTGCTGTTTCTGATCCATCAGACTTCAGTATTCAGTTAGAAGATTTCTTTGACATAATGAAATATCTTTTTATGTTGCTTTCTGATCTCCCGGAGACCTTACAAACATTGCCTCAGGAGTTCATAATTCCCGGTTCTAGTTGTTTGTTCAAATATAAATCGGAAGATCAGTGGAATAGAGTAGAAATTTCTGAAGTCTTACCTCATTCTTTATGTCTTGTGTTGATTGACTATGGATTTTCTTTTTATATACATTATTCAGAAATTATAAATCTTAAAGTTGTTCCTGAGGAACTTTTGAATTTGCCAAGGCTGAGTTATCCATGTATTTTATATGGTATCTTACCTGCTAAAGGAAAACATTGGAGTGAAGAAGCCAAAAGCTTTTTTCGAGATTTCCTAAGTAAACCAGACCTAGTTTTTCAGTTTAGGGAATATAATTCTGAAACAAAACTGAAAGTAGATGTCATTCATGAGAAAAAGAATTTGGCAGATATATTAGTTGCATCTGGTCTCGCAACTTATTCTAAAGATTCAGCTCATCTTGATGCAATTACTGCTACTGACTCTACTAAAAATCCAATATAAATTACAGAGTAAGCCTATTTTCCCATTGTTAGATCAAAATTGTTACAAAAAACAAAATATAAATTTTACATGCACTGAGAAACAAAAGTGTAAACAGAAATCTACAAAGAGGAAAGATGTCTGTAAGAACCTCTTAAGGAAAATTCGTATTAGTAAAAGATCACATTCTAGAAATTTAACAGTGAGAAAGAAAGTTGGTAGTGGAAAACATTTCCAGAGTGCCATTTTGTTTGATACATGTACAACAGCTTCATTTTGGGAACTGCCTGATGGTTTGAAGAACAGCAGTTATGTTGAAGACATTTTTGAAAAACTACCAACCGAAGGAATACAGGAAAATAAGACAATGAACTTGAGAACAGCAGTAAAAACATCACATGATAATGAAAAAAAAAATCAGAAGAACACTTAAAAGGTAAATAGACAATTTTATAAAGTAGATTATTTTCTGTAGATTCTTTTTTTTATTCCTTAAAAGTTTTTCATGTACTAACATCCAAATTGAAAATAAATGGCAGGAAAACTTACTAGAAAATCTGGATAAATGGATGAACTGGAAGTGGCCGCTATGATTATAAAACGTTGCTTCACTCTCTTTACATTTTTTGAATGGTGAAGTTTTTAGAATGTAGTCAAAGATTTTAACCACGCATGCATGCACACATGCATGACATTTCACAAATAATTTCAAGGGTTTCATAAAACTCCTAAATGTCTGTAGATCTCATGTTAATAAATCTTGCTATTATTAGTGAGCTTCCTGGGCTCATTTTGAAGAATCATTTTTCTGTTATACATAGTTTTATATCATATGAAATGTCTTTAGGTGTTTTGAGTGTGCTTCTAGCATATTTCTGAACCAGATAAATTTATAAATAAACTGATTCTAGCATATTTTCTCTTAAATCTTTTAGATGTCAAACTGACCCTAAAATATTGTTAAAATTTTAATATTTTATGCACTACAGTATTGTCTGATTTTGTTTATCCACATTACATTCATTTTCTGTATGGATTAGTTACTGAGGATTTTGTAGGCTGTAAAGAATGTTCCCTGGCAAATGTTTGTTTTGACTTTATAAATAAAACGTATGTTATTCCACATTCTGTATTATAACTAACGTCATAACAGGCTATACTCTTTCTGTGAGTGGAAATATCTTGTTTTTACTGATGTAATGTTAGAACGTATTTTATTTGAATTTTACCTAGATGTTTTCTAGTGAATTGATAAATGCTTTACAATTGGCGCCCTTTTCTATCTAATTTTTGAATCTTTCCTGATAGCAGTAGTGGTTATTGTAGCAATAGAAACAGCTACCATATTTTGAGTGCTTATTATGCTTCAGGCACTGTCTCAAGAGTCTTATATGTATTACCTCATTTAATGCTTATTACAACTCTACAAAGTATGTTGATATAAAGGTCTAGGAAACTAATAACTAGTACTCCACTTCGAGTTCTAAACCACTTTCAAATAAACCTCTTCAGAAGGAGAAAGATAATTGTTAAGCAAAATGTCACACTTAAACAAACAAAATAGATAAAACCAAAAACAATATTGAAGACTGGCTTATATTAATGGAAAAATTGGCTTACCAATAATGAAATAAGGAATTATTTAGACTTACACAGACGGTTATAGGCATAGACAAGAGAATCTTCTTGGGAGGGTACCCATGTAAAACAGCCTGAGGCAGTTCTCCCCAGAAAGAAAAGGAGGAGGAAGAGGCTAATGAAACATAGGTCTTTTTCCTTCCAAATGGACCAATGAGATTGACCTTACTTCTGGAAGGCATAAGTAAGAAGAACAAAGAGGCTAGGAGTATTATGCTAAGAGAGTGCCTCACCCATGAACCTCCACATGGAAGGAAACATCAGGAGTGGGAAAGAAGCATTTTCCTCCAAGCTATTATCACCACTTTATGGATGAGTCTCAGGGAAATTAAATATCTTGCCCATGAATTTAAAGCTGGTAAGTAAGGAACTGAGATGTTCAACTCAGATTTCTCTGTCTGCTTTTGTTTGTTATTTATACTGCCTTTTGAAAAGTAGTTAGCTTACTTGGGGAAGAGTTTCCTATAAACTCTTGGCACCAAACCATACATTTTGGCTCTTACATCCTTTACTGTTCCCTTACCTGTGCATGTGTCTAACTTCTTTTATGTTTTTTTCCCCATCAGATTCTTTAAGGACCCACTTTGGGTCCCAGCTTCTATCTCATAGCACTCCTAACACACAGTGAATCACTGAGTGAGTTAAAGTAGCTGTTGTAAAAGCAGTTAGAAAACCAAACATTAAATTATACTTCAAAACACAGATTTGAAGTCCTATGTAAGGAAAAAAATCATGACTTTGTATGACAAATATAAGAAATATAGTTTCATGGACTAATAATAAATTTCCATACTTGCTGTAATCATAGCCTTAAAACAAAGCAAGAAAACAACATTAAAAAAAAACTGGTTTTATTGCCTTTACTATTTCAGCTCCTACCACCTCTATTACTCTTCCACTATTATTGCCTGCAGGTACTCTGGGTCCAGGGCAAAGTGATTTTAGTAGTTCCTCTTGGTTTAAGACATCAATATTTGAAAGCGTCTTACCTACTAAAAAAGCATAAAACGGACTCTGTTACAGTGGTTCTCAACCTTGACTTTGCATCGGAATTAACAAAGGAAGCTTTCAAAAAACTCCGACGCCTGGGTCCCTGTTAAAAATTAAACATTCTGTTTTAATTGGTCAAGAACTGTGGCTTTACTCATGGGTGTTTAAAGCTCTCCTGGTGATTCTAATGCACAGCTAAGGTTGATAATCACTGCTCTAGAGAGGACTGTAGATAACTTCCTGAATTATTTTGTGAGAAAAAAATAATTTTAGGCTTTATGTGTAAAAACTCTTAGAATCTATTCTTCCTGTATTTGAAGTCCAGACTATACATAATGAGTCACAGTAATTTTGAGCTAAACAATTCAGAGTAAATAGTAAAAATGTCATCATGTTAGAAATGGCCTAGATGTATAATATGTTTACTTTATCTTGCCCAGGTATTGTTCTAAATGCAGAAGTTGCCACCCTTTACACTTGGAAAATTGGCTTAACTTTCCCATAGTTTCAGCCTATTTTAACATCAGTGTTTAAATATTCAGGGTAATTGTTTTTATCTGTAGACTATTTTCTCCAGAACAAACTTGTTAGTCTTTTTCCAGGATGTTTTCTCATTTGTTTTTGTTTTTCAAAATCATGCTTTCTTGCCCACATGCTTGTTTTTGCTTCAAAGTCCTTGTGTAGATTATGAGAACTAGAGAATGTAATAACCCGTTCAAAAAAAGCACAAGAAATATCTGTTCATTCTTTGATAATGAGGCAGTGCTTAATGGTAATGTGTACCTATCCTTCTACAGTTGCTTATTTAACTGGAAGTCATCTTTGAAAGAAATCTAGAATGATAACCCATTTTTAAAGAAGAGTTTTTGATATTTTAAATATGAAGTAACATCTAGACATCCAGAGGAGAATGGCTGACAGACATGTGAAATATCAGACTAAGTCTTGAGAACACAACACTATTGAGTCATAGAGATTTATGAATTGCTTGCATTGAATGGTTATTAAAAGTATGGGCACTGAGGCTGACTCCCTAAGTGTGAATATTTGCTTTATCCCTTATTAGTAATAAAACCATGGGTAATCTTTCAAACTCTTTTGTGCCTCAGTTTCTTCTTGTGTAAAATGGAGATCATAATAGTAACTACCCCTTTGGGTGGTTGTGAAGATTACATAAATTAAAACATGTAAAGCATTGCAGTGTTGCCTGGTACATAATAAATGCTCACTAACTGTTAGAAATATAATCATCCTGATAAAACTATATTTGTTTTGAAAGTATTTTTGTGAAATCATAAGTTAAAATAATTTTTGATGCTGCTAAGCAAGAAACTGAACTATAGGATGAATACACACAGATGTGTTTAGTATTGGTATAATGGTTACATTCATCATTAAATTTCTATTTGGAAGATAGGATTTATGAGTAAGAGATGATTTATGAGTAAGAGGTGATTATAGTTCCAGATAAAGAATAGAATAGGTTATATATATTTTTTCCATTGTAGACATATATTGCTAAATGAACAAGTTTTTAGTTGTTACATAGAATTATATATATAGCATGTGTTATATAATTGTATATATAGTGTATGTTTTACATACTATATATTATACGATATGTTATACATATAATTGTTAAGTAAAAGTTTATAGTTTATAGGAATTTTTAAATGAATAAATCTTGAGTAACTCTTAATGAGACCCATAATGATTTGAAGATTATATTACAATATACTGATGATTTTTTTGCTTTTCAGTAGAATAAAATGGAAGCTCAGATCACTTATGCATTAGTTTGGTAACAAATGATATATAGGATACCCAGTAATTACTATCTTGGTTGAGACACTGTAGAGCTAGAGTAAAGGTGTTAAGCATAGTACAGCAACTTCCAATATTAAATCATGTTAAATGAATCTAGATTTTTCAGGTTTTTTTCCCCAGGAGACCTTGTTAGATTGTCAGATTGCTGTAGAAATTTTCTGTGACCTAGGACATGATAAAAAGATTTTAAAAAGATTTTTACTTAGTAATAATTTTTAAAAGATTATTACCTAGTAAATGTGGTTCACCAGTGTGAGATATCTTGAAAATATTTTATTTGATGAACTATTCTTCTTTGTATGTGGTTTCAAAGGCAATAAATACTATTTTACCTTCTGATACTTTACACGTCTTCCCTGACCTTTGTTTCAGTTCCTACTTTGTCGAGTTATAATTGCAACTGTGGTTAATATAAAGAGAGTTAGTGCTACCATTTCCCTGGAAAATATAAGTGCTTATAGGAGTGACATTTATTAAAAGGGAATAGAGAAGTCAGACATAATCTCTTCTTTCCTTGTGTTTAGCTCATAGTATGATAATTTTCTATCATTTTATTTTTAGTAATATTTAATTTTAGTTGGGTTTTATATTTTTGGTTATTAGCTACTTGGAGATATTTGTGATATTCAAGAACAGTATATCCAGTGGAGAAGGGGAATCAATATTTTGTCATTTCATTTACTATTGAATTGGAATTTATTTTGCAAGTAAATATTAATTGAGCAAGTTCAGAGTATTATTTTGATGCAAAGATAGAGCCATAAAATTATACAAATGCACTTAAGAGTTAGCATAAGCCAAACATTTCTGAAGAACTGGATATGGGGTGATTTAAAGAATATTTGCAAAAATTTAGAAAATTCCTAAGCAAGCTAGGGACGATCAAGTGTGTTAATATCTGTGTGTCTGTATTGAGCATGTTGATATTGTCATCTCTTTGATGTTGGGAAATAATTTCCAGAAATACTGTAAGTTTGAATTTGGTATCCTGAAAGTTAAAGTTTACTTAAGAGTTGGAAACTTCATGTATGTATTTTTTCAAACAAGTTCATTTCTAGTTTGTGATTATTTTAGAACAGACAATGTAACATTTACTTTTTGTAACCTAAACTCTCTGAACACTTTGTTGTCATCCCCTCTCCCCTAAGCCCTGCCAGATCTTGAAGATTATTTACACTATTATGAAGAATATCTCCCTTGGAAAATAATTCATTTTGCACAACTACTTCTTCTTCTTCTTCTTTTTTTTTTTTTTTTTGGTGACAAAGTCTTGCTCTGTCACTCAGACTGGAGTGCAATGATGCTTGGCTAATTTTGTATTTTTAGGAGAGACAGGGTTTCACCATGTTGGTCAGACTGATCTTGAACTCCTAACCTCAGGTGATCCACCCGCCTCAGCCTCCCAAAGTGCTGGAATTACAGGCATGAGGCACTGCGCCCGGTCCCCACATTTTACACAACTTGTATAGCTGTTGTATCACTGGGGCGCTTTTGTTGTTTAGTCACCATAAAATATGGCAAAGTTAATGATTTTGGTTTATTAAAAATAAAATGAGTTTGAATGTCAAAGAAAAGGCATTATGATGTCTTTTTTTTTTGGAGGGGGCACCAATTTAATCAGGAAGGACCAATCATTTGCCTTTAGTTTTCAGAGTTCCTTTAACTTCAGTTATGTCTTAATGTATAATATTTTATATTTGGAAATGATAAGAATATACAAACTAGAAAATTTATTTGCAGCATTTAAATTATTAAATCCTGCAGAAAATGATGTTTTGACAAGTCTATATTTCAGTTAAATTTTTTTGTTTTTTGAGATGGTGTCTCTCGCCCAGGCTAGAGTGCAGTGGCGCGATCTCAGCTCATTGCAACCTCCTCCTCCCGGTTTCAAGCTATTCTCCTGCCTCAGCCTCCCGAGTAGCTAGGAATACAGGCACCCGCCACCTTGCCCGGCTAATTTTTGTATTTTTAGTAGAGGCGAGGTTTCACCATATTGGCCAGGCTGATCTTGAACTCCTGACCTTGTAATCTGCCCGCCTCGGCCTCCCAAAGTGCTGAGATTGCAGGTGTGAGCCACTGTGCCTGGCCAATTTTAATTGATATTTTTCCTGTTTGGACAGAAATCCAATAAAGAAAATAGCTGAAGATATATGTGAAATTAGGTTGCCTTCTTTTAAGATAGTTTATAATTTAAAACTAGCTTTTTTGTTTTATTTTGAAAGTGTTATTTTTCAGCCTGTTATTATACTGTATAATTATAGAAGATGTGTAGTAATAGTGCAGTTTTATTCAGAGTGCTTTCAAATAAAAACAAAAAGTAGTGTTTGTATCTTAGTATTTTTATTTTCTTAGGATTAAGTTTTATTTTATAGGTATAGGCAAATTGGAATAATGCTTTTTTCCATTTTAAAACATTTCTGTTAATTTAAGTTAGTAAGATCTGTTATTTTATAAATGTTGCCAACAGATTTTTATTTAAGAATTTGGAGAACAGTAGAACATTTAAGTTACTGTGTAAAATATTATATTTCAAAGCTTAGGATTGTTAAAACTTTTTAATTTTTTCCTTCCTAATGCTAATCTATATAAAGAATGAGTTTTCAATCTCATGTAAAATGGCTTTCAATATAGAAAAAAGTGATTCATTAGTAAACCAGTCAAGATTGTTGATATTTTTAAAAATAATATTCACATGTACATTTTTCAAGGCTCTATATTGATGTGAAATAAAACACTCAGGTCCAAAATTGTTAAATAAAGACAAATTATTCAGATATTTGTATTTTCCTAGCATAGTTGTGATTTTAAATCTTCTCTATGAGAGCCTGAGTAGGTTAAATTTCAGAGGGTCTGAACTTTTTTTGTTTTTACTTTTTAAATCTGTGTATGTTAATATCAGCATAACTTTTTTTGATTTTTAGAGGAATATTGAACTCTAATATCACTTTTTAAGCAGTTTTGATATTGTCGCTGACTATTATTTGTGTATATCCAAGGGAACTTTTTTTTGGTTTTGTATATTGATTATTTTGAGTTAAAAAATTTTTCACAATAAGTGTGTATTCCTAAAGTCTGAAATTATGTATGTGTTTTTGATATTATAATATGAACTTATTGTGATGAAATACTGAATTGACTTTAAAATTTCTCTTGACCAAAGATAATCATTACACGTTTTTTCTATTTCCAAAACATGTGAGTTCTTTTTTTATTCTTTCTTTATCCTTTCACTTTTATTTATTTTTAATTTTTAATTTTATGTTCCAGGGTACATGTGCAGGATGTGCAGGTTTGTTACATAGGTAAACATGTGCCATGGTGGTTTGCTGCACCTATCAACCCATCACCTAGGTATTAAGCCCCGGAATGCATTAGCTATTTTTCCCAATGTCCTCCCTTCCCCACCCCACTCCCCAACAGAACGCTGTGTATGTTATTCCCCTCCCTGTGTCCATGTGTTCTCATTGGTCAGCTCCCACGTATAAGTGAGGACATGTAGTGTTTGTTTTTCTGTTCCTGCCTTAGTTTGCTGAAGATAATGGCTTCCAGCTCCATCCATATCCTTACAAAGGACATGACCTCGTTCCTTCTTTATGGGTGCATAGTATTCCATGGTGTATATGTACCACATTTTCTTTATCCAGTCTATCATTGATGGGCGTTTGGGTTGATTCCATGTCTTTGCTAATGTGAATAGTGCTGCAGTGAATATATGCATGCATGTATCTTTGTAATAGAATGATTTATATTCCTTTGGGTATATGCCCAGTAATGGGATTGCTGGGTCAGGTAGTATTTCTTGTTCTAGATCTTTGAGATATTGCCACACTGTCATCCACAATGGTTGAACTAATTTACATTTCCAGGAACAGTGTAAAAGTGTTTCTGTTTATCTGCAAACTCACCAGCATTTGTTGTTTCTTGACTTTTTAATAATCGCCATTCTGACTGGTGTGAGATGGTGTCTCATTGTGGTTTTGATTTACATTTCTAATCATCAGTGATGTTGAACTTCTTTTCATATGTTTGTTGGCCGCATTAATGTCTTTTTTTGGTAAGTGTCTGTTCATGTCCTTTGCCCACTTTTTAATGGGGTTGTTTGTTTTTTTTTCTTGAATATTTAAGTTCCTTATAGATTCTGGCTGTTAGACCTTTGTCAGCTGGATAAATTGCAAAAATTTTCTCCAATTCTGTAGATTGCCTGTTCACTCTGATGATGGTTTCTTTAGGTCAATATCCCTCGTGAACGCTGATGCAAAAATTCTCAATAAAATACTGGCAAACTGAATACAGCAGCACATCAGAAAGCTTATCCACCATGATCAAATTGTCTTCAATCCTGGGGATCAAGGCTAGTTCAACATACACAAATCAATAAACATAATTCGTCACATAACCAGATCTAAAGACAAAAACCACATGATTATCCCAAGAGATGCAGAAAAGGCCTTCAATAAAATTCAGCATCCCTTCATGTTATTAAAAACTCTCAACAAACTAGGTATTGAAGGAACATACCTCAAATTGATAAGAGCTATTTATGACAAGCCCATAGCCAACATACTGAATGGGCAAGAACTGGAAGCATTCCCCTTGAAAACTGGCATAAGACAGTCTCACGACTCCTATTCAACATAGTATTGGAAGTTC